TTGTACATGTTATGTGAAAACAAACTTTTATGCATTGTATCATCATGTGAAAATAAGCGTTATATCCTGTAACCATTGCTACTTGCACCATTAACTATCTCTCTGGTTCTATCAGTTATATCCTGTAACCATTGCTACTAGCACCCTTAACTATCTCTCTGATTCTATCAGTTATATCCTGTAACCATCGCTACCAGCACCCTTAACTATCTCTCTGGTTCTATCAGTTATATCCTGTACCCCTGATCCTGGATAACATAAGCATTATATTTTGCTCCTATTTACTCCACATACTACTCTAATTAGATAGTCACCTACAACAAGAACTTCCCTATCCTTTACACTATCATCACTTGTGATCCCATCTGTTTCCCTTACCTGCTCCCCCTCATTACTAGCAAGTGCTTGGAACCGGTTGTTTAACCCAAGCCCATCCTTGTCCCTAACTGCATTATTTTCAAAGCTCTTAGCCCTATTTCCTTTCTTAGCTCCCTTGAAATCCCGTTTGCCAACTGTACCTTTTTGTGTTCAGAAGTTTAAGTTCTGCACTAAGCCTCGCCACCACTTCAAGTTATTTACATTTCTCCCTTTCCACCTCAGTAGCTCTTCCCAAAAAAAACCATCCAACTTCTAACCTGCACACCCTGCAAATAAGTTGTACATCCTGGCTACTAGCCTCCCTAAAAGTACACTTTAACCCAGAGTTTATAAATATAACACTCTCCTGGCATCTATCACACTTTATCAACTGAGAACCCTTAATAGTTTTCATTTAGTTTAGAGGATGGGACAGCTTAGATGGACCAATAGGTCCCTTGTTGTCCCTAGCCATTATGTTATGTATGTTATGTCATTACAGCTTCTTAGTTCAATTACATATGTAAAACTAAATATTCAGAATTAATTTTAATATGATAACAGTTATTATGTTTTCAATTTCATAAAATGAATGATTTCTATCTACAAGAAGCAATACAATCTGATAAGCTTGTTTTCACACAATGTGTAAACACTTAAAACATAATGTGTACAAGCATTTTTTTTACACAGTAATACAATGTGTACAAACTTGTTTTCATGTAACATGCACAAGCTTGTTCTCTTACAATGATGCATGTGTACACATTTTTTCACACAGTAACACAATATCAACAAGCTTGTTTTCACATAACATGTACAAGCTTATTTTCACATGATGATACAATGCATAAAAGTTTGTTTTCACAAAATATGTACAATGATAGAACCAGAGAGATAGTTAAGGGTGCTGGTAGCAATGGGTACAGGATATAACTGATAGAACCAGAGAGATAGTTGAGGGTGCTAGTAGCAATGGGTACAGGATATAACTGATAGAACCAGAGAGATAGTTGAGGGTGCTAGTAGCAATGGGTACAGGATATAACTGATAGAACCAGAGAGATAGTTGAGGGTGCTA